ATATATATATATGAAACATGATTGCCCAAGTCCCCTTCAACTTATAATTTGGTGGTGTGGTGCTGACAAGGGTAGCAAGAGGAAACTGAACTTAATCACAGCTTTCACGTGAAGTATGCAAAAGCACAGTGATGGAGATGATGTCCAATGACAGCTTTACCACTTCAAGCCTTCTAGTTTATACACCGTTTCACCTGGAGTTCACTGATGGCCAATGAATTTGAAGTTGTTGACATGGACAGTCCCTTGATGTTTGTTCCACATTCAGCAGAGAAGTTTGTATCTGGGAACAAGCACTGGGAAGTTCCAGATACATCTTTATGAACATGGTGAGTACTTGCACTGAGGTGGGATCAACTACATCCAAGTAAAGGAGCCTAGCAGAGCCATCCTGTCCTCAAGTAGGCCATACAAAAGCAAAGAAACAAAGGGAACCAGACTTTTCCCAGGACAGTATCATACACTGGAAAGCAGTTGTTCTCCTTTTGCAATTCCTACACAGTACTTTGAAGTTAAAGCTTTGCCAAGTAAGACATGCTGGATACTGAATTAGCTATTACACCAACTATAGGAACCACAGTCTTGATAAGAAACTGGTAGTGTGGCATGGCTGCACTTGTCTCACAGTGTCTCCTCATGGGGGAAGGTTTTTTCAATGCTCAGCTATTAGGTAGGAAATTAGCAACCTACATTCTGCAAATACTCCAACTAGTTATTTGAGTAGTTAGGAGCTTTTATATCGATAGTTTGTAACAAAGAAGTCCTGCACTCTGGCTCACGTGTGTAATCCAGAACAGTTTCATTCTTCCAAATGAATTTTTGGGCAGTAACAAAGTGCAAAGGACCTGCAGCAGGCATCCTGACATTGCAACCACAGAACTGACAGTTCAGTATATTCCCACCAACACCCCGTTTTGAAGTGTGTCACGTGAAGCGCTCTGAACATCTGGTGCTGAGGGTAAGGTTGGGGTTTGCTTTGGTTTTTTTGTGTATCTATAGGAACACAAAACCTCTACAGCTTCCACCGGGACCCATGCTTGGTGGCTTCCAGTCTCTCCCTTCCAAGCCTGAAGAAATGTCTTTAAGTGTCAAAACTATGTCAGTGTGGAGCCAGTCAGTAAACAAGAATCTCTGTGATAAAAAGCATGGGAATCGAGTTGCCTTTCACCTGCCAGTGAGGCCAAACAGAAACACTTTGTTCTGGATTGCTTGGCTTGATTTTCACCCTCCACCCCCAATGCAGAGCAATCGCTGTCCCCACTGATGCAGTACTGAGTATAAAAAAAAATTTCACCCCAAGCTTTGGTCATTCAGAACAGGCAAACCTCTCAAGAACCTTAATGTAGTTTTTAGTGCAGAAAACATGAAAAAGTCAAGCCAGCTGTTACATTCACATCTGACTCTTCCTCTTCTCTACACTGCACATCCCAGACCATGCAATGATACAATGCCAGAAAAATGCCAGAAGCTCTGAACACTTACAGTCTGATATGGGAGTCCAGAGGTTAGAATGACTCTTCCTTCCTGTCGGGCAATCTGGAGAAAACAGTAAAAATCATAATGAACATGGGCTGAAGTTACACTGGATTGAAGCTTTCCTTTCAGTCAAAGCAGAGAGAACATGAACTGGTGAACTGAGTCTTTCTCTCCACTGTCGACATACACTAGGCCAAGAGTATCTGGGTCTGGTTCAACAATACGCTCTCGACAGCAATAGCAGCTCAAGCTATTGCTCGCTCACTACACGTCCCCTCCCTGCCAATACCCGCCTTGCCTCACATGTGCTGGAACAAGCTACTTATGCACCTGCACTGCAGATGGCCCAGGGAACCGATCCACCTTGAAATAATCCTATCAAAAACCTATCTTTTTTTTTTTTTCCTTAACCCGGATTATTTCTGTTTCCCCAGTCTGGTTCACAAAGAAGCAAGCAGTTCTGCTCCCACTGCAATGCACAGGGGAGAAAGGAAAAAATAACCTATGCAGGTAATTCCAGCAAAAAATATGTACCATTAAATGTGTCTGCAAACTTTATAGATATCAACAGAACAACGCTCACTCCACTCCTTTAATGGTGGTATTCTCCATCTCCATCTCCACCAAAAGATGCTGGTATTCTCCCAGCAGCCCAAGAGCAGACATACAGAAATTATGCACCCTTTCCAGGCTGCAAGGAATATCTCCATTAGAGTTTTTCACCTCCTGACTTGAAATCCTGTGTTTCTATCAGAGGTCTTGTCCTTCATGGGAAAGGTCTGTGCTGAATTATCAGGGGACTCATTACCGGCACTTCTGACCTTCGCAACAGAGTAAGTGACACTTTCAAATGGTTTGGTGCCAAAAGGAGATACTAAATCTGGAACCGCAGTTCTTCACAGGGATGAAAGTGTGACTGATCTTCATATGATTAAATGACATCCCTCCCTCCCACCCCTTCATCCCCTCCTTAGGAGGGAAATAGTTTCATGGCCATAGCGATAGAAGGATTCTCATGTCAACCAGCACTTCAGCTCTGCTAGTGCTGACAAGAGATTGGCACTTCGAGGTAGGCATGAGGTTATTTCTCTTCTCTGGCTTGGATTCTGTTGGAAGCCTCTGTCTTTTTCACTGTTTCCAGATGTGTGTGACAGAGGTGTCACTTCTGGATCAGAGTTTCAGAAGCTCTCTCTGGATCACTCTTTAATCCTGGCAGGAGGACACATTTGGGATCAGAGTCCTGCTGCACTTCCCAGACAGTATGACACCACCAAGCACAGCCAGAGAACACCAAAAAAAACAAACCAAGATTTTTAAACTCTGCCTTGGATAGCTATTCTCTCAAGACACACCGGACCTATGGCAATATGAAACAAGGAGGAGAAGGCTCTGAAGGTACAAACTCCCCGTGCAATCAACTAAGCCACCATTTTTTTTCCTATCTTGACCTTTCAGGTAGCTGGTTCCCTCCCTTTTTCATGAAGTCCCTCTTTGGCTGCCAGTTCTGCATTGAGAAGGCAATCGGCAACAACTTTTCAAACACCCTCCTACAGGCAAAATTGCTGTATTTCTTTCAAAAATCAACCCTCTCCCTCAATAAAGGAAAAATTCTCCAAGAACAGGAACCCTGAAGTGGCAGCAGAGATGGCTTGTGCTAGTGCAATCCTAGTACAGGCAGCTAGGGTTACTGAACAGCCCTGCCAACACACCACCCTCATGGCATGTTAGCAAGAGAAGTTCAGTAAGGCAATGGTAGAAGTTCTCTACAGTCATTTGCTGACAAGGGAAGAGATGTGAAATTCCCTCAGACCCATGTGTGCTTCAGGGTAAGTCTGAGGATTTCACAGCTGGAACACTCCATTCTGACTTCCTGCATCCCAGGTTAATTAGTTCAAGCTTGATAAATCCCCTTATCTAAATAGCTCTGCAGAGACAGGCAAAGAACATCAAATAAAAAAGAGAAAAGCAATAACTCTTCCAGCATGTTTTTCTGCCTCTGGAACAATGACTGGGAGAAGCACGCAGAGCCAGGAAAGCCATGTGATAGCACACATCTGACTGAAACCACGGAGGATACGTGCTGGAAAAAAGGGCACAATTCCTTCTTTTCCTCTGAAAGAAATAACAGAAGGCAGCTCTGGGGCCATCCGGGAGATACGAGCTTGGAGATGCAAATAAGAGGAAAAGAACGACCATAGCAGCGTGTTGGGGTGGGTGTCAGGGACCCGTGCTCCATCCCAAGTGCTGCAGAGAGGGCATTGGCCTCAGTTTCACAATCTATTTAAAAGATAACATCAACTTCCCCTGGAAAAGGCTTAGACCTTCTGCATAGAAAGCACTCTCTAATAACTTGGTATTATCATCTAGCCCTTAACGTGCCTGTCTGTTCAGCCAACTTTCATCTTGCAGACGTGAATGAACTCAAATGAATTACTACAAGAGAGACCTGGAAGGGCAATGACTGATGAGAGAGGGCAGAGAGAGACCCTATGTTTCGAAGCCAGCACCAGTGGTGGAACGATTAGTGATAACCTAAAAGATCCTGAATTAAGGCCAATGAAGGTTTCAAGAAACAGCAGCACAAGGCTGTAGATCTGTAATTTAAAATTTGCCAAGCCCGTGCATGATCCGTGTTGGGCAATGCCATGTGTCCTTGAAGAGGCAAACTGCAGTGCTCCCTTTGCAAGACAGCACTCCAGGAAAAGCTGTGACCCTCTTTCCAGTGGCAGAGGTGAAGCAGCAATCCCCAGCCTAGGCCAGCAAGGTCCCAGATCAGACAAAAAGGGAATGGACCGAACACATCTGCTCTAGGATGTGTGTTGGAAAAGCACCCAGACAAGGATCTACTAGAGAAGTGGATCACAAACCTCAATCGAACCCTGAAGTTCCCTACTTGTTATCTCAGGCTCTTTTAAAGTAGACAGTAAACCAAGAGCTTAATAGCTATGAACACATTCAGTCCAGTCCTGCAGTGCACTCACTGTACTGCTGGTATTTCAACCCTAGACTTCTTTTCAGCATTCCTGAAAACCATAAATCGTACAGTGTTATTGCATGATTTCGTAACGTGGCCTTAAGTACCACACCAAAACCACTGACTCAATTTTGTTTCTTAATGTAGACTCATTTGTATTAAGGTCTCCAATGAAAGACATTCTCCTCCTGCTGACCAAACATCAAAAGCGAAGTCTTGATCTTAAAGGCAGAACAGTTCTTCATCTGTCCTCTGCAAAATTACTCCACAGACTGGCGGGGAGGTAAAAAGACTAGCAAACCTGAAGAACGTCATTTACATCAAAAAAACGGAAAACATTCAAAGCTGAGACGAGATCAGAGATTAGATTCCCCCATTACATGAAGCTCTGCTCACTACAGTATTAGAAGTCCCCTTTGTGTCCCATGGCCCAAACCAGTCCAGGGCAATTGAGATCCAGGTGCACATTGCTCTAACTGGCTCCTGAGACCCATCCAAGCCTGGCCCTCCTCTCCAACTCGCTGGTTCCCCTGCAGTTTTGGGGGAGTAGGTGTAACCTTGCAAAGGAACCTTCTACAGAGCTGCAGGAAGCCAGTTCTACCAGCCTTCTGGTTATTATCACACTTCAAAAGATACCAGGTTTGCCTTAGTGTGCAAATTATTCTTAGAGATGAGGATGATTTTGAAGACCAAGAGCACAACCCCTTAAAAAAATAAAACAAACCAACCCATAACTCAACTGAAGGGGTTTTGAGATTCCACCAAGTCACTTCTTAGAAATTAGTGACCTAAGAGACTACCAAAATTTTCCTACAGGTTTCTGCTCCACTCTTGAAGTGCAACATTGCAAGATCTACTGTAGTCATTTCAGGCGGGTGGGTGAGCCTTTAAGGACAGTACGAGAAACATCCCACTGCTCTACCTGATTCTGCAAAATTGCAGAGAGAAGAGGAACACCCTCTGAAACTTTCCCACCTCCTTCCAATTATCCATCTAGAAGTCCCAAAAGATAGGTTTAAGATTCTCTTCAAAGAGAAGTTTGTAGAAGATAAGCTAGAAGACCTGGCTAGAAACACAACAGGCATAGGATGTGATGTAAGTAAAGAAAAATGTATTCCTAGAATCACAGAATGGTTTGGGTTGGAAGGGACCTTAAAGCTCATCCAGTTCCAACCTCCCTGCCATGGGCAGGGACACCTTCCACCAGACCAGGTTGCTCACAGCCCCATCCAACCTGGCCCTGAACACTTCCAGGGATGGGGCATCCACAGCTTCTCTGGGCGATCCATGCCAGTGCCCCACCACCCTCACCGGGAAGAATTTCTTCCTTATATCTCATCTAAATCTTTCCTCTTCCAGTTTAACGCTATTCCCCCTTGTCCTTTCACTATATGCCCTTGTAAAAAGAAGTTTATTATTCAATTAATTGGAAATAACTTGTCACTTACAGGAGTAAGTGCAAATGCAAAGGGTGGCTTACCCTCATAATGGCACTCACACACACAGAAGGATGCTGTGTAATAGAGATCAAAACTCCGCATTCCTTACCAGATGGAGTCATCCTTTACGTTGGGATGGACTCAGAAGCCCCTGGTGAGGAACAGCTGGATGCTTATGGCCCTTCACAAGACAGGTCTCCCTATTTTGCCACACAGCAGGGAGCCAGGCTTGGGCCAGCCTGGGCCACTACCTAAAGCCCTTCAGAAGGGCCTCCTACCCACGGTGCAAGAGTGGAGCAGTGCTGCCAGGCAAGGACATGTTTCAGGGAAGGCATGCGGTGAATCCCCCCCGGCTCTCAATGCACGGGCCGCTGAAGTCAGGTAAAGGAGCTCATCCAGCACATCTGGTACAAATTTCATCCCCCAGCTGCATACCTGCTTTGCCAAACATTTGTGTGCATTGCGTTACAGCAGTTAGGATATAAACATAACATGGTAAAAATCTAACTGCCACCCCACCGAACGAGAAGACTTGGAAAATGACACGGTGTCCATACTTGGACACAAAGCTGCTCTTCCCAGAGAGGCTGGTGCTTATGAACAGAGGCTAAAATGTTTTTGTAAGGATGGACTGTGAGCTCTTTGCCTTCAACATGAGGACAGATTTAACCAGAGAAATTTTCAGTACGAATTTCTACTATTTTTCCATTTTAAAAGATTTTCTGCATCTGCACTTATGGCAGGTAATTTTTAATCAGTCACTTCTCCAGTCAATTAAAGGGCACCACTAAATACACAGAATGCAAACTGGTGTCATCTCACAGCAGCTAAATACGGACAAACGGGGATACGCTGGCTTGTGGTGTCAGAGGTCCTGCTCTCACCGGCCAGCAGATCTGAGACTGCAGATCTGGCATGATAAACTTGCCATGACAACTGCTGTCCAAGATAAAACATTTAGCCAATAATAGCAGCACAACACAAAGCAGTACACAGGCCACAGACCTCACGTTTAGCCTGGGAATGGGGTTTGTCAAACCAATTACTGCCACACACACTACTTTAACAGAAAAAATAAAAAAAATCCATAGCTGCCCAAGCACAACCTAGAAAGCTCTCAGGCTTTTGAGTTTGATCTCAAATAAGAGCGTGAAGCACAAGACCCAGCTACCTATCAAAACTTGAAGTCACTTTAACAAGCAACAGGAGTAAGAACAATAAGGAGCAAATGCCAGGCGATTCAGGACTTTTGGCACACGGAGATGTGTAGTATGACTGACAAATCATTTTAGTGAAATGACTTTCATGAAGAACACACACTAATGCTGTACACACTTTTGTGTTCCTGGTGATACTAGTTTGAGACTGTTGGGACAACATCCAAACTGTCTATCTTGTATTCAGTGACCAGGATCCAAACCTTTCTCCTGGCCCGTGCAATAACATTTACAAGTTTTCAGGTGTAGAGTAGTCAACGTTCAACTTTTATTAAATGAGGACTAGCCAGATATAAAGCAGGGTGGGAGGAGTCTATTTTTATCTTTGATTATTCAAGCACAGATCAAAGGCTCTACAATACAGTAACACTCCAAGGGCTTTTGATAGTGAAAGGATGTTTGTCTGGTCACCATAGAGAAAGCAATGTAAAACATCCTGTCCATAGCACGATAAGGTATCAGGATGAGAAGCGGAGACGGAGCTCTGGGGGGAGGCAGTGAGAACTAGTTTGTTTAAATGACTTGTGCAAGTTTGGCAGAGATGAGATATTAATTATTTCTGCAGAAGTTAGAGCCTGCCCAGGATTCAGGCCAAGCAGACATCTGAAGAGGAAACATCCTGTGCACCAGGCCGGGTGATCAGTGCACATTTGATAGTAACGCACTGTGTGGGCTGGATATCTCAATTTCTGGCATAGTAAAAATATGTCTGAAACGAAGAAGCATGTGTCTCTCCTCTGAGAGGCAGAGGGTCAAAGTTGTTATGGGAGTCCAGATCAATGTTCATTGTCCCCATGTATGTTAGAGACTCTTCCTTTCCCAGTTATTTCACTGCAAGCTGTGGCCAATCACCTTTGAGTCATCTCACAAGGTGGTAGGCAGCGAGGAAGTTGTATAGCAATTTATTATGGAAATTTTCCCGTCCATACTGAACAGCCATCTTTTGATTATGGCTCTGCTTGACTGACCCAGGTTCAAGGCAGACAAATACCTTCCCTGTAAGCCCAAACTGGACTCCGTTAGAAACCTAAGTGAATTTTGGGATCCTTTCTCTGATTTTTGTCTTGTTACATACACACCACCACCTCCCCATCAAAGACACTTGAGACTGCAGGTCACATCTTTACACTCTGCTTGTGTTCTTCTAAAGCCTTGAAGCATCCCAGCTGTCAATGACACAAACATACAGACACAAGTAAGATCTGAGATCACAGCACTCTCTGCTCACCTCCTCTCTCCTGGAAATGGAGAACCAAGCCCACACACTACTGTAGGGACTAGCTAATACCAGTTGCCATGTGGCACAGCTTCTTGGACTGAACCAGAGAACGGGGTCTCAGCATGGGCACAGGAGAAAGCATGGGCTGGGCAGCTCCTGCCAATCCACTGCCTGTTTGGCATGAGTGACTAACCACTGCAGTCATACAGTAAGCAGCAGGCCTTCCCCAAGGAATGCAGATGGGAGCTATAACCATACACACACATGCACGCGCATGTGACTAACCTCAGCAGCTTTCCTATGGTCATCCTCATTCTCCAGCATCCGGACATCTACACCAAGGCAGCGAAGATAGCGCCCCAGGCCTTGCAGCATGTTATCGCAGACAACACTGAACTCCTTTGGGGAGATGGGAGCAGGGGAACATGAGCTCTCCTTTTTGGATCCTTTGCATTGCTACAGAAAGACAAGAGATCCGTAAGCAGAAGAACAGAAGGCTGATTTCCAGCACATTTATGTTTTGCCTCCCTGCATTCACCCACCATGGAAAATCCGACTGTCCCCTTCCACCTGTACTACAACCTGTACCCCCATGCTCTGCAACACCTTTAGTTCCTCCTCCATGTCCTTTCTAAATGGCCCACCTACCACTTGGGCGGGAGGCAGCACATGATGGGGCTAATTCTGAATTAGCATTCACTCACTGGCCAGCTGGCCACCCAAACCAGGAATCTGCAGCCTTTCCCTGGAGAAATGCCAACCTGGCCTTCTCTCCTCTAAACAGATGTTCATTCTCATGAAGTCACAGAAACACATCTTCAAGACTGTTATTGCCCTATTGAACTAGACTGCAATTAATATACACTTGCCAAAGTTACGATTTGGGAAGGGGATCTGACAGAGAGAGGGAGAAACAGGTAGACAAAGCAACCACGTCAGCTTTGTTATCTTTGGAAGTTTAAAAATAGGCAGTGCCTGAATTCTGTTTATTTTATTTCAAATATCTGCTGCTGGGGGAGTTCCTGCCGTTGGAGACTTTGTCGTTGGGAGGTTCCCCAAAGTACAATAGCTAAATTCACACAGAAGGGAAGTTATTAAGGAACCTCCAATGTTCAGCTTTTGCCTTCAGGAACTTGAATCAGCTGAGATGACCAAAGGACACAGCCACCACCTATGCAGGGCTACACTGTCTTTGAAACAAGAGAGTTACTGCAGCATTGCAGATTAGCTCTGCAGTTGACTCAGGCTGGAAATGCTCTGGCACACCATGCAGATACACCTGGCCTGACCGTGTGAACTAGCTCAGATCTGAGAGCTCCATTCATACGACACTGCATCTCCTCAAAGCTGGTACATGCACTCAAAGATCTGCAGCGCTGGGTAGACTGGACTGTCATCGGCTCCTGCAAGGACCTTGGTGGATGGAACTGTGCCCCAAGACACCAGAGTGCCATGATAACGGATCAAACTGACCCTGCGGTGCTGATGTAGTTGGAAGACACTAACCCTGTGCTGCTGCTTCTGTTCAAACAGATGTAAAGGGGAGGCAGCTGGCTCTCAGCTAGTGTTTATTCAATGGCCAGCAATGTCAAACGTAGATTTTTTTATCATGTTTCATGCCAGCAGAGAGCAAAAAGCTTATAAAGGAGAATAGTGTCATTAGCTCCACTTCAGATAGTGGACCAGGAAACACTGGGAAAGAGAGCTTGGAGTCACACAGGATACAGAGTCAGGAGAAGTCTGCTTTTTTTGACTCCCAGTCCAGGTTTTACCAACTACCTCTCGGTTAATGAATCTGACTGTACAGAACACAAAGATGACCCGTGAGTTCACAAGGTAATTCAAGCCTGAAGTACTTACTTTTCCCATCTCTGCAGCAGCCAGTCAGATCTGTTGTAACACACAATATTCCCATGAACACAGAGCACTTAGGAAACTACCGAGCAGCTTTGTGTTTTAGTGCCTGACTAAGACTAATGGGATACTGTACATTTACACACATTTGATAAGGAGGATGCTGAAAAGGTGGCTATAATCAATAGCATCTCAGTCCAACCATGGAAGGCAGTATTGACTTCAGGAGCTAAATACGCATGTGGGACTACTCAGAAGGATACACATCCATAGCGAGTCTTCTCAGTTAATAAACAAAACTGTTTTTCTGCTAATGTTTTCATAGGCGCACAAACAATTGGATGGTTGCATTTTAAAAATAAAACTTTATTACTGAGAGAGAGGGACCTGTTACATTCCAAGATATTTAAGCAGTCACACACCTCCAAGTTATGGCCGGTGGAGTTTTAAGGCTCTGTCACAACATACTTTGCCGGGGGAGGCCAGTCATGGAGTATGTGGTGGTGGGCAGGGAGACAGAGACAAGCCATCAGCAGAAAGACTTTTTTGATGGATTGTGTGTTTTTAACTTTGCAGACTTCTACTCCAGACACAATAAAGGAGGCATTCCCAATGTGAAACCAAAGCATAGAAGCTCAGTTAAAAGCTAAAGTAAGGAATTCAGAGTTTTGAAACCTCATTGATGCAACACCTAGGCCACGGAATTCAAACCCACAACACTACGGAAATGTGGAAGGAGCACTTCTACCAGCAAGGTTAGCTGGATTCTGCCACACAGATCTGCACCAACATTTTGAGAAGACAAATGAACGTAAAATTGCAGGGAAAGCTGAACCAAGGCATGCAAAGGAGAAAGCACATATTAGCAGTAAAGGGGAGGAGCAAGAAAGATGTTTGCTGCAATAGTCCTGAGAACAGACTACAAACAGGCATGCCACGCATAGCTAATAGTATGACTGAGAGACAAGGCAACATATGATTTGCAGGGGTCTTGAGCAACACGCAGCCCTTTGAAGATGTTTACAAACCTGTCCAGAAGGTGACGGTACTTCTTGTTTATTCAGCTGCTTCTTTGCCCTGGGTTTTATGCTGGGTTTTCCCACCAGACTCTCAGTCAGGTCTGAATTCAGACCGAAGCTAGCTGGATCCTTACAGAGTTTCTCATAGACCTCCAGCAAACAGTAAGCATCTGAAGCTGAAAATAAGGGAATATGAGCCTCAGCTGGTTTCACTGAAAAGTAAAACAGAGGCTTTCCTGATGCAAGGAAGAGCTTGCCTTTGTAAATGCCACTGAACACAACTTGTGAAGCTCCAACTTACTCATATCATACCCTGCACTCTTTTACTGCTTCAGTGAGCATCATAACTCAACACAGGATCACACAGAGTCACGGCAGAGGACCTCTCAAAGCAACAGGCCTACTGCTGTCTCTGACTCTAACATAATGCAAATCATAGTGCGCCTGTTCAAACCACCATGTAAGATAGCTTCAGCCAACCCATTTTACTCTCCATTGTTACTGAGCAGCGGCTTGCCAACGGTATATTACCGCATCTCAGCTATGGGAAGGTAACTTCCCCATTAGAAGCAATATCTTAAAAAGCAATAACCGAGTTGTTTGCAATCACCTGCCCACACGCACTGCCATGCGGCTTCTGTTCCTTGCAACAGGAGCTGCCTAAGTCTCCAAGCCAGTTTTACAAGTCCTAGTGATTAACTTTTGTGGGAACTGTGTCAGCTTCAAGAATAGCTGAATTTAACAAAGAGCTGGTTCACTACAGTAGACTGTCCTTTGATGCCCCAGGAAAAGACTTAGGGCCAGACTTCTGACTCTGGGGTAATCGGCAATAAACTCCACTCGTCCCTCCACGGTACCAATGCTGTGCTGCGGTTTCTGACACCATGTCTACCCATTTTTAACCCTGCTCTAACAAGCTCTTCACTATGACAAATGAACAGAGCACTTGTTTCCCAGAAAGGCTGTGAAATGAGGCAGAAGGAAGTGGACTTTCTTCCTTTCAGTTACTGAGAGGAGTTTCCAGTGAGGTGATGTTTCATCAGACAAAATCAGCAAAGCACAGCAATTCTTTCATAAGGGAAAAAAATGAATCACTGGACAGTTTAAACTTCAACCATTAAAGCCATGTCCACAAAAGGACAAACATAACGCGTGCTGGCTTCTCTGAACAGGAACTAATCTGCAAAGCCATTTTCTTCATTTGCTACTTAATGATTTTCCTGGTGATAGAGAACAGACAAACACAGTCCGTAAAAGAATCTGTAGCACCTTGCCACAGAGTCAGTGACCAGACCTGCATAGAGGATCTGTTCCTCTCGGAGAGGCCGTTTCTCCCAGTTAGACAGCTGCTCTGTTTTATCTAGAGGTTTCCCCAGCACGTGTTGTACCAAGAGGCTGAGTCCTTTCTCTGGTTGCTTGAACCCTCTATCCTCATAGCTCTGCTCTGAGGACAGTACATCAACCTTCTGGCCGCTCTTCTTCCAGTCAATGGAGCTCTTCTGCAGCTGATGGAAAGAAAAAGATACAAAACACATAGTTATAAAACAACTTCTACAACACCTCCTATTCCAGTGGGTGAGAACATGCAGCAATACTATCATTTTTATCTCTCGCCTGGCATATTGAATCCCATTGTCTCAGACAAGGACTGGGATGGCATTAGATACATACAGCGTCTGGTTATTTGTTTAACAAACACACTTGCTGGAAGGAAATCTGTTTCATAGCCAAGGAAGGAAAAAAGTGCATTGTCGTACAGTATTGCATCAGAGCAGTGGGGCTGTGGCTGACTTCTCAGAGGTTTGCAGGGTGCTCGGCCATGCTGGAGGTTGTTGGGCACCAACTCAATAAAAGAACAGCAGTGGTAGTTCAGCACCTTCTCCTATTAATTCCAGTGAAAAAAAGTATTCCTGTAACACAGTGGGCAACAGCCTTTCTGCAGTTGCCATTTCTTAGATTAAACTGAGGCAATAGCTGTCGGCAGGTACTTAAGACGCTGCAGCACCTCCCAGGATAAGCTATTGGTCCCAAAGATCTGGGTTCTCAGCCTCAAACACACTGTAAATTCTACTCATTAAAATGATTGTCCTTAACATTTCTGCAAACTGCTAAAAACTACTGTGTACAAACCCAGACAGCTGTACTTAAGCTGAACAGAAATTCCTGTGCTGAATCCACCAGCAGCCCTCCTACAAACATTACCAGTTCTCTACAAATCATTAACTCCATAATATCTGCTTCAATACTGCATGATCTTGGAATATCAGAATTTCTACAAGAATTTACCCTTACTGAGCTCAAGTATGACTTGTGCTCAGAAACTTTGTCCTAGCTGAATGGAGCTATGTCTCCATTTCAATTGCTTTTTCATAGCTTTTATAAAGGCTATGAAAAAAGTTATTAGTATATCAAGCTCTATTGATGAAAACTAAATGCTTCTGTCTTTCTTTACAGAATCACATTACCCTCAAAACCACAAGCGGAAAAGGTCTGTTTACTCATTTAGGCATCTCCCTGCCAATACAGGATACAAAAAGACAATGCTGTGAATTCATGACAGTTATCTATGAGCACATGCAGGAGACACAATTTTCCATATCTTCATGTGTTCATCCTTACTTGTTTGTCTACTGTGAGCAGGTCCACCACACCTTGTGCTTGCTTATCTGTGTCTTTCAAAGCAGACCATGTGGCTGCAAGGCTGCTGAGGTCTCCAGACATCCCATAACCTGGAGAAAAAAAAAAGCCCAAATTACATAGGTAGGAAAACTCCAATCATGGTTAATATACTGCAGCTTTTTCTAGTTCAGAGTCAAAATACTGACAATATATGTACAAACATCGGTGGAAAGACTGTTCAGATAGGGAACAAGGCAGACTCCCATCTCCCCTGTTCCTAAGAGACACTCTTGCAGATCAAGACTAGGACAGAAGAGGTGGATGAAAAATGCCAAGTTTAAGATCAACTTACTTAAAATATGCTAGGACAGTGAAAGGCAGTTATGAATTTGCCCTTCAACTCCAGGTTTAACAAACTCCTGCCAAAAGCCTCCAAACAGAATCTAAAACCAGGTATGGTAAGCCAGAGAGCTCTGGTGTCCAGCACAGTGGCTTTAGGACAGGGCCAGCAAATCCAGAAAGCTCTGGATGGTAGACTTCCCCAGACCACTGAAGGCTGGGTGCAAGTCGGGGTTCAGTATGGAACTAAGACAATCCCAAGTCCGAGCTGGGGGCTAAATCAGAAATCTTGGGTCTGGCCTGAAATGGGGAGACATTTCTATCATTCCCAGTTACAGTGGTCACCCCTGCTTCCTGGCACGGCAGTATTTGAACACCCAGGGATACAAAAGCTGGTTTCGTCATAAGTGGATTTAGAGAATGACAACCCCAAGAGGATTTAGGAATTATACAAAATAAGCTGTGTAAAGACCCAAGGTGAGGAGAAGAGATGCACATTACCTAGTTTAGTGATGGCTGCATCTGAAAAGAGCATCTGGATGAAATGGGGAAGCTTCTCCTTCTCACCCTCCGTCTCAGTTTGCTCAAGGAGCCGTGGCAAGTCAAGCAGGAACACCTCATCCTTCAGAGCTATTTGAAGGAGGGAGACACGGGGCTTCCCAACCATGCCGAATGAAGGCCTCCACTCCATGTCAATGCCAACAACCTGCCCAGGCTGCAACACAGACAAAAGCCTTCTTCACCTAAAGACTGCCTATGCTTGAAAGTAGCCTGACAGTCCCTGTCCAGAACACAAGCATTTCCTTTCCAACAACTGCATCCCTTTGCTAGTGTGCAAACTGCTACAGAGACAAGTAACTTTCACAGTACACCTGAGTTACCCCTGCGGGGATCTTTCCTGGCACAGCCATTCCCAACACGTTCCCCAAATCAGACGAGCCTAAAGGAAGGAGCTGTTCTTGACTTGGGGAGGGAGACATTTGATGGCAGTAGCCCAGATACAACCCTGCGTACCAGCCTGCTATGAAGTTTCTGCTCCTTGACCCTGCAAAGTAAATACCAGAGTAACGCTCACCCGCAGCACCTTTTCCCAGCACTGCAGCGTCTCTTCCCATGTCTGCAGGAAGTGAATATTTGCCCGTGGAATAGGAAGCTGGTAATAGTCTTTCTTCTTACTCTCTTCATAATTATCTGCTTTTGCGGCCTCTTCTACCCTGCATGGAATCAGATGCAACAGCTTTAAGGCATGCAATGAGAGGAAATCCTGGATTGAAGGAACGTCAGGAAGTCTTAAGCTCCTCATTTCACCCTGGTCCTCTATTTCCTCATGCCACTCAACTCTTTCTCTTACCCTCTCTTTCCTCACTTTCTCTGTAATCTCAGACTCTCTCATCTTGACTCATCCTCTCTTTTTATTCCTATTACAGAAATGGCATTGTATCCGAGACCTCACCACACGCATGCACTGTACCCACCACAGAGAACACCCAAACCAAAACACTTGCTGGAGTCAAGAGTCCCAAGCCCTGTCCTCAATGCTCAGCTCTCTTTCCCAGAACTGATGCAACTTGGATGACAAAGTTGGGCAGCTGTTTCCACACTGAGAGATAACACATTTTAGATTTACTGCTTTTTGCCCTCGAGGTTAACACGGAATTCTGCTAGCTCCCACGGTGTGATACATAACAGAAAAGTCAGCTCTGACCAGCACTGTGTCCAAACAGGAGCTTCACACTTCCCCACAGCGTAAACTGGCTCAGAAAGAGACTCTCAGAGTGCTCCACACTAAGATCATTGCCAGCTGGTAATGGGTGAATCTGCCTCATCATTTTATAGTGTAATGGCTTGCAAAGGCTTCACGGACCTCCCTGATGCTATCCAGCTTCTTCTCCTCCATGCCCTTCCCCGTAAAATATCCACTCAGGTTGCACAAGAACATTTGTCCTACATTGCACAGGGATGAAATGAGAAAAGTTCAGAAATAAAGTTTAAAAACCTTCTGTATTTAGGGGAAGACAGCCAGCTGAACCCACAGATCGAGTGCCTTGCTTGTGCTACTCCCTCCATTTGGGTTTCAGATGGCACCACACAGAGAAATTCAGTATCTATGTATTAATACGCTGGGAATGTTGGAAGATGCCTGCAGAAATGAGCTAAGTGATTTCCTATAACAGGATCTTACACAGCACATTTTCTTTTCAAAACGCAGCAGAGTCTCTTGAAATGGCCTTGTAACTGGAAGGTCAGCATATTGCTATGCTGTCTCAGCCAGATGATGCAATCAGAGGAAAGAAACTAGTAAAAAATATCTAGCTATTTTGGACATATCACAAATTTCTGGATAGTCTCTTTCCCATAGAGACTTGAAATGGTTTATTGTTTGAGAAACTATTCACTAACCTTATGTTTAGGGGATTGCGTGACTAATTTTGTAGCACAGCAGCTTTCACTGTACAAACACTCTTTTCCATGGGTTTGTGTGCATGGGGAAGTCAATATTTGTGTAAAATATTTAATGAAGGTGTGCAGCCTCAGGTCTCCAGGAATATTCTCACCTGCAGAGTTCAGGAGCTGCATGTAGTGTGACCAGTGGTAGAGATGATGTCATCTATATGCTGGTGCCACCTTGTTCTCTACAGCGTGAACACCCTCTCTGGGAACCTGCTGCTTTCTTAGCTCAATAAATAAGGTAGACAGACTGTTTTATTAGGTTCCACGGCTCCGCTGATTTCATAGCAGCTACTGCAGCTGATATCATGACTGGATGAGCAAACTGGGGCACAAAGGGTTTTATTTATCTGTCAAAACTCCTCATGAATGGCAGAGAACATCCTAATTGGCATGCCTTCATGTCACCCGTACGTGACACAGGATTCCCAGAGCAGAGAGATGTAGTGATGTGTTTTATCTTTCTAGATGCACAGAGTCCGTGGTGAAGTCACACTCTTGTTAACCACCCCTTTACATTTTGAGGGACTACCCCTCATGCAAAAACCTTCTGGCTCCCAACTGGTGGCTGGTGCAGCTTCAGGAGGGAGGAGGATGGCAGCTCCAGCAATGCAGCAGAGCTCAGCAGAAGCATGTCCTAGACAGACAAGAGTTTCCTGTGCTCTAGGAAAGCCATGCGCCATCTGGAGAAGTGGGCCTTTGCAGACAGTATTTCAAGGGTGATTACATCTGTGTCATATTTCCTGAGGTTACATGGGGTTGGAACATGAACCAGTGCAGATCTGCACTAGGAGAAAGACCGGACGCATGAAGTTCAGCACATGAGCTGTTCAAGGCCATCAGTGAGACCCTCCCAAAACCATCAGCATTAAAAAAATAATAATACACCGTGTTCTCATTCACCTTCTATGTAATTCAAGTTAGTCTAATCTATGCTCCAAGAATATGATTTTTAGTTATGAAAGATGCAGTTTTTGCACAAACATCTCTTCCAGGAGATGGAAACTTGCTGTAACGTTGAAGACAACAAACCTGATGATAAACCTGTTAGAGCAGGTAACCTCACTGAGTCTCAGGCTTCATCTTCTTAAAATGGTCTCCTTATTCCCTAGTGAGGTGTCGGTATTAACCAGGCAGTCAGTGACAGATCCTAACTGTCAGCCACATAATTCTGACATACGGCACCAGTAGGAAAGTCCTGCATTAAGAACACAAGGGAAAAGGAACCACCCAAACCATGTGCATACAACTGCATGTTCTGCACTAACGGGAGAAAGCCCCAGACCACGTGAGGTAGCAGATGAGCATGGGCGTGCAGACTTGTGCAACAGCCATGCCAAGAGGGACCCTGCCTCTGTTTCTCATACCAAGAGCATGGCGCTGAAAGTGTCCAACTTGCTACCCAGGGAGCAGCAATCATCAGCTTTCTGCTGGCTTTATTCCTCCCCAAACAGGCAATGTACGATGTCATCATCAATTCCTCCTGGACACACAGTCCATTTCAGACCAGATTCAGATTTCCAACACATACACTGAGAAGTTCCATTCTGTATAGAAAGTTACTCCCTCGTATTACAGGCTTCAAGGGCTATGTTTGCAGGATGCTAAATATATGGGCTATCAGTTTGCACAAAGTTGTAAACAGTTACCTCTCAGAAGTGGTCAAGATTTTCCCACAAACTGTCCTCTACTCTCACCAAGCTTCTGAACTAGAAACACCAATCTCCATGTTAAAAAAAAACAAACAACACATTTCACAAGTGAGAGTGAAATAGGCAAGTGTTGCCATGTCCAGTCAAGCACAACAGTCTGGAATAAGGTGACTGATGTGCACAAGAAGAGGAAGAGTCCTAAAGAACCCCAAAATTATCACTGCTTCCTCTCTTTTGTTTTTGACAAAAGCCTTGACTCTACCTGGAAACACATGATTGCTCCTCGAATGACAGCAAGGCTTTGAGCTATGCTGCACTCCAACCACACAGCCCAGAGCTCTCCTGTATTTGCATTGAGCATTCAGGGTTAAGTCCTCTTCTGTGCACAGAATCCAATTAGATGAATTCCTGCACATGAAGGAGCAGAGAAAATGCTGCTTGATTGTAGCAGGCCAGCAAGGTGACTGCGCAATTACTCTGAACCCAAGGACTGTGGTAGCCTGCAGCCTTGCAGGAGTTCGGCTCACGAACATGCGTGGGCACAGAGGCTACCATGCTGTGTGTTGATGGGACTACCAGCCAGACATCATCGAGCCCGAGGTTCCACATCTCCTGTGCAGTCCTGGGTGAGATCCTAACAGGACCCTCATGCAGTATCCTCTGCAAGCTCTGCAGTTTCTCAAGACTTGCAGTAGCCTACATATGTGCAGACCTTTCTGCAGGAAAAAAAAAAAGGTTTAAAAAAGGGTGCCAGACATGGCTACCTCTGAATAACTTGCTTAAACACATCGTGGACAGAGTCACCGAAGCATGGCAGATACACTGTCACTCACAAGAGTATAAAAGTGAATTACTGGGACTCAGCAAATCATTTGCATTGAGTCATTTTTTCAAGTACAGCCTTTCTTCCTCCATACAGCATAGTTGAGTGACTGCCTGTGATACTGTTGCATGACCCAAAAGGATGATCTTGGGTCATTTTCTCAAAGAGACACAGCACAGAATATCCAGAACCAGAACTACAAAGACCTGGTACTCCTCCAGATCTAGCTTGCTGTGGGGATCAGACAGCTCCTAACAGTTTAGGTGGCTGTATGTGCCTTCCTAAATTTTAAGCCTCTTTTCAACTTCGCATAGCTTTGTCTACACACAGCATGGAACCTGGCCACCCTCTTCCCTCCATCCTTCCCCTCTGCTCCTCCTATACCAGCAGGCTCACAGAGATCCTTGACTGGGATCTGTGCACTTGAAATCAAGGAGCCGTAAGAACCCTTCTTAATATAAGGATTTTTCAACTATATTTTTTTTTTTACCTCTGCCTTTGGACTTCCATTTCAGGTCATGCAACAGGATGAAGCTCCCATCAGGGAAGGAACTGTGGCTATTGCAAGCTAATCTGCTGCATACAACATGGTGATCCGAAAGCAGGAGAGGAAGTACGGCACTGTGTTAATGGGATTGCATTAGAAGAAGAAAAGGGGACAGACACTAATTAGGGGGCTAAAGGCTCCTTAAGCTCACTTGGTAAATTTGTGCCAGAGAGTCCAGTTTTATCTCAAATTCAATTAATGCGACTCTTCTGGGATTTGACCCCAAATGTCAAAAGTTCCCATTACTTCTGAAAGCTCTGGATGAGGCAAAAATTTCAGACTGGAATAAAAAATGGTTTATAAGCTGTCAAAAGAGGAAGAAAATAAATACAATTAGAAAAATATAAGGAACTTCAAAATTATTTTCTTGGCCATAAGTCTCCTAACAGGCATTAAACCAGATTACAGTACAGTGGGGGATGCAGAAATAGATAGAAAACTTTGACAGATGTGTAATTAACTCAGTAAAATAGATGCATATTCAGATCCTACCCGCATCATTTCATCAACGCTGTTGTTCTGGCAGAGGGGGTCTGAAGACCCCTCTGCAGCATGAAGCAATCTCATACTGCTTCTAAGTACTCAGGAGTGAGTTTAAAATGCACTTTTCACAGACATTTACAGGCTTATGAAAAGCATATGGAATATGTACATGGCCAAGATGTGATCTGAGAAAATGGAGGAAGTTTTTGCAAAACTATCTCCCCACGGAAGCATTATGACAGATTATTTTAAGCAAATACGTGGTCCTTGCGTGATAAGTAATCTACATCGAAAAGGCAGAAAACAGAGTATTTACCTGTCTTGGATCTGAAGCTTTTGAAGCTCATCAGTCACTCCATAAGGTAGCATCTCCTTGGGAAAATTGTAGCGTTGCGCCCATCTTGCTGCTGTGTTCAAATCACAGTAACTGATTAGCAACTGTATCAGGTGCCCCTGAAGCCATCGATTCTCTCCAACTGTGCTCTGAAAGGGAATGAAGGGTGAAGGAAGACTGTCAGTGCAATTCCATTATGGGTATTTCTACCCCCTCTCAGGAGACAGCAAACTCCAGTGTGTCCTGGACAAGCGCAGAAAGGAGCAAGAATCCTCCCACTGCAGGAGTGATTTTGTTCAAACCCACTTCTGTGCCAAGAGATGAAGAGCACAGACTTTAACTGAGAGCTCATCAGGGCACTTGGGTCCCCTTGACAGCGTGGCTATTTGTTCAGGGAATACCACTTTGCAGGTGCAGCACAGAGAAACAAGGGTAAACCAATACCATTTAGCTTGATTGATGACTAGCATATTATTTGCTCAGATACCGATTATATTAAGGAAAATCAGGACTAGTGACTGACCAGACAGTAAAGGTCTTTGGGTTCGTTAGGCAGGTAATTACGGAAGGGGTAAGAGTTTGGATTGATTTAGTCTCATTTTGTACCTGTACACAGCCCTGAAGTGATGCTGTGACTTGATAAGATGGGAGAGGCAATAAGATGGCTGAGTCTCTCTCCAGTAGCATGGGGTATTTCCACAGGTAATCAGGATTGCCAGTCACACATGAGTTACAGATAGGACACATCAGCAAAGCTTTTCTAAGTGACAGACTTTGGTGTTCACAGCGAGGAAAAGGCTCACTCATCAGCCTACAGCCAATCTGCACACACCACCGGGAAAAAAAGGGCACCAGGTCCCTCCTCCGGCAACATACAACAGCACGCTGTGCTGACAGATGTCCTGTGCAACCAGCACGGACCCAGCCAGCACTGCAGATGGGGTCCAGCGTGTGAGTGCTGTCATCCTGCATCGGAAACAGGTTGTACGAAATGTGCTCTGAAAGTCCTACTTTATCCTCACTGATCAGTCGCTCCAGCTTTGAAGAACCAGGGTTAGGTGCAAGAAATTCCTCCCTTTGTGTCTATTCAAGGCCTCTGTGGATGTGATAACCGGATTATTGCTTCAGCCATACGGATCAACACAATGATCCCAAGTGCCGCTGTAGGACCCTGCATTACATACACCTGCAAACAGGACGGGCAGTTTAGGACGTTTCCCCTTCCCAGCCATTTCCGTGTGCTCGCGCCTCAGCACACTGGGGCACAACCACAAACTCATGGCTGCCTGTGGTTTAAGCCCAAATACCCAGCTGTGAGGCACAGTGGCTGCAGCACGGCACGCTGCCCACCCTGGCACAAGGGAACAGCTATCGGCAAGGGGCAGGGCAGACAAACAGGTCTGCGACAGTGGATTCACCAAAGCTCTTTTGTCTTGTTCACCTCCTTGGCAGATGCAGTAGTAAGAGGAAATACAAACACAGTGACACTGATAGTCATGACAGCTACACGGGGGTGGGAATAACCCACTCCTCCTGCCCAGCCAACCCACCTGCACTTGCAAATATCCCAGAGCCACTGCAGCCGGATCAGCAACCCACTCCTCTTCCCAGACTGATTTACTCATGGATCTGCCTTAGAAGTTAATATTGTCAAGAAAACTTAATTGCTAAAACAAGTTGAAATTCTACATAGTGGATCAGAATCTGTAGCTATATGGCTATATTGCTGCTGGCACTACCAACAAGTTATTTTTCAGTGTAGTCCAATGCTCAGATGGGCACTTCAAGTCCATCCCCACCCTCCGCACATGCCACTGCCATCTCTCCTTCGCTGCTCACCTCAAAGGTCTTGCAGGGTCAGAGTCTGCTCCCACGGACCGCAGGCACCTTGCTCTTTCCCCACGGTGTGTACAAACACAGCCTGCCTGCCCGGTGGGCTGGGGCCATGCAGCCTCATTCCTCACATTCTTTCAGTAACTAAAAGGTGAGAAGTTGTCTTCAAAGCAGACACCCTGCACAGAGATCAGGAAACGAACCTGTGATGGCCCCATGGTAAAAGGGAAAGAAAAAAGAAAGCAAAAAAGCAAAAAAAAAAAAAAAAAAAAGAATGACCCACCCTCATAGAGGTGCAGGAGGGGGTAGAGACTTGGAAGAAATGCCACAGAGAAATTTGCATCCCAGGTAGCCCACACCAGAAGCCAGTCTGCTGATAAAAACTGCCGCCTTGGCACTACGTCTCCACCCCTGTGGACTCTGCCAAATGCCAAACCACATTTCTCCTCATGGATATGTGGAGAAATATTTTTCCTGCTGCTCCGAAGAGGCTGGCAGCACAGCAGGAGCCAGCGTCAGCAGGACTGGGGTCCAGCACCTAACCAGGGGCTCAGTTACTGGAGAGAAGCAGGAGAGGGAACTGAGGGAAGGGGCAGAGCAGGAAAGGATAAGCTATAATTGTAATGCTTCTTGCCCATTACATTTCCCCTCGAATCTTTCCTTCTGGCCATGCCAGTCCAGATACCTTGTGCATCTCCTACATCTCTGCCTCATGCAACTGAGCTCAGCCAAGCACCTAACACATGAAGGAGGTTTGAGTAACTTTTCCTCTGCCTCGTTTGCCAAGCCACTTCTCAAGACTCCTTCCCAAAAAGAGCATATTTTCTTATTAACATCACAGAGCAATTCCCTCTTCTCGTCTCCCCTGTGTCCATCCTATTGTCTTTCTGCCTTTTTTCTAGAACACAAAGTCTTTGGGGTTGGATCTCTCTACAGTTCACCCAGAGTCAATTCTTAATAAATCTCATCATGTCAGCTTTATTTCTGGAAATAATGAGGTGCAGATTTTTTTTAAATTATTTTAATGATAACAGATTCATTCTTTCAATCACAAAAACAACTCTGGAAAGAAGGTTAATCTCTCCAGAGATATTGCATCTTGCATTCTGAAAAGCAAAATAGCTTTGTTTGTTTTTTACTGAAAGAAACCAACATTGCTATAAAGGGGAAAGGCTTCCACCGCAACAGCTTTGCAAGAAGCAAGAATGTGGAAACTTTGGCCCCAGAAGATGTGGGCACAGATGCAGAGACAAATGTTTCACTAGGGATGACATTTCATGTATTTTGTTTTCAGTAAATGAGCACTTTTCAAGAGGGAACTGGCACAGTTGTTTTGACCAACATCAGCGACACCTCCAAGCAGGAAAAGATTACATATACCATGAGGCTCGTTTACATCCCTCTCTGAATTCTAGACATATCATACGTTCTTTAATCCACAGGCACACACAAAAACTCCTGACACCAACAATAGCCCATGATTAAAGCTTTCCAAAATGACTGCTGCAGATTACCTACCCGTAAATCCTGTTCTTACCCAGTCGAATGTTTTACAAAGCTCACAACAACCAGTGCAGAGGAAGCTTAGGAATGTCCTGATCTTAACCTACCAGCAACTCCTTCATTGTTATCAATAATTTTGGATCCAAATATTGAATATCTTCTTTGGAAGTCACCCTAGCCAAGCCCAGATTACTTTTATCTGTATGTGTTAAGTTGCATTTCTGTGTGATACAATTCTCCACTTTCCCTCACTATCTTTTACTGAAGAGTGAAGTTATTCACATTAGTGACACTGGTTATTTGCAGAGTCAGATTTTAATTCAACTTTTGAATGTCTTGGCCAATCTCCCCTGTTCTCAAGTGCTTCCAGAATCAACAAAAAATATCCTGTTAGTGTAGAGAAAATGTCAAGCAGAATATTTTAAAGCCAGTCAATTTAAAAGGGGAAAAAGAAACCTGGACTTTGAAAGGACGAAACCACTGCAAGCAGTGGAGGACACCAACAGCATTTCTAAATTCACTGTGATGCTGCAGGTACTGTGCAGACACCTTTGTTTAAAGATTCTCTGGAACATCTTACTGTGTTGGTTTCATTGTACCTTTATTTTATTTATGCTTGAGATTTCTGTTTGGAAGTTGGCACCACCTGTACTATATGCAGAGATGCTGCAATAGTTTGTCATCATTAGCGTGTCATTGAAGAAGTCCTTTATGCATGAGATTGGAGCTGGGACCCTCAAAGCCAGCTCAGACCAGGGTCACAGCCTGTTCAGTGACAGAAGGGGGATCCTGACTTCAGGATATCCTACATAGATGGCACAGGGATAAAAGATGCCAACTTTACCCACACTCACTTCTGAACAGGGTTTCTTGTTCAGAAACAGCAGGCCACTCACCCATGGCCAAGGCACAAAGACAGAAGCATGAGAAAGCTCTGCTTTCTCACCACTCGAGCTGTTCTCTTGCTCACAGGCACTGGCTACTCAGATGCACTAATTTATGAACTGAAGAACAAAATAGCCTCCATTCATATCCCAGAAGACTGACTTTCAGATAGCAATCAGTGCGTCATTGACAGAGCCACACTTCAGTGTTCTGGAGGCCATTACCACATCAATGGCGGGGAAGTGGTCTTTCTTCTCTCTTTCAACAAAGCTTTGGCAATGTGGCTCCCTGGGGCATGTTCACACTACCTAACTTCAGCTTTGTGAATCAGGAGACCCAGCTTCCCAGTCTCCTCATGAGAGACTCTTCCAAAAGGCAATTCAGAGGAGTATAACTTACGATATAACTTCAACGGATCAAGGCAAAGGCAACTCTTAAAGCCAACTTGCTGCTGTATTGGGGCTCCTCACAAGGAGCTTATTGTTCCTGGGCAACCTGAATGAAACTGCTAGCTTGTGATGAGTAGCTAGTAGTGTGACAAGATGCATCTGGCTCCATTTTTCTCTCTGCAGCTCACACAATCTTGCCAATGCAATTTCTCGTTCAGAAGTCCAGACACCACTAATAAATGGTAGCCAGAAGAAAAAAAAAAACAACCTTATAGCTCCTCTGTTAAAATTCACCCTGCTGACTGCACAGCCAGCCGCGTTTCAGCCAGCAGGTTGAGGGAAGTGATTACTCACTTGTTCTGCACTTGTGAGACCACACCTGGACATGGTGCCTAGTTTCAGCACCTCAGTTTAAAAGAGATGCTGAAAAATAGGAGAGAGTTTAGTAAAGAGCCACTGAGATGGTCAGTGGGTTGGAACACTTGATGCAAAAGGAGATGATGAGGGAGCAGGGCTTGTTCAGCTTAGGGAAGGCTAAG